GCAGCTGGTTCCAAGGCCATATTGATATTCATCATCTCCCTCTGCCACTGCCTAGATGTCCTTCACTCATGGCCAGACTGCAGCTGATGGAGGTTGTTTGCCTGAAGCCATCATTCCTGAGGAGTCTGAACCCCTATTTTTCCTTTCCTTATCATGTCTTTACCATATACTGTACTTGACTGTTACCATTAGATGTGTAAGCACTGAGGAGCATCTACTAGGTTAAGCTACAAATTGCTGTCACCTACAGGGCAGAAGAGGTTCAGTGTAACCGCCTTGCCACTGAAATGGTTGGCTCTTCTTTTTGAGGAATTGTAACATAGGGTACCGAGAGCTGGATTCTGCTGATGACAAGTTAGGCAACTTAGTAGCAGCAGTGGCTCTTGTCATTAATTAGCTGACAAAACGTTAGGCAAGTTATTTAATTTCTCTGGACCTCAGTTTTCACATCTGAAAAACATGGGCTGATAGTATCTGCCTCATAGGTTTATTGTAAAGGTTAAATAAGCTAATATATGTAAATCACTTAGAATAGTGCTTGACAAATACTAGATAAGTATTAACTGTTACTGTTATTAATTCTTTAGTTTGAAGAGAGTGTGGTTGAGAGCTTTTTTCTTGAACTAGGGAGCGCAGATAACATCCAGACTTTTTGGATAATTAAAAGAATCCAAGCTAGGAAAGACTAAACCAAAATGACTTGATAGAGCTGTTTAGAATTGAGGGACCCCTAGGTAAACTATGCCCATGGGCTTACGAAGTCAGCTTCTGTAATCTTCTCTGTATATCCGTAGGTGCCTCTCTGTATAGATTTGGTATTTAAGTATTATCAGCTACTTTTACACTCAAGTTTCTGCCCCCAAATCTGTAAATGTATTTGCATTTTCCCTTACCTTTTATCCCTTTATTTTTTTGAAGAGGCATTTTTACTAGTGTCTAAAGCTAATCTTGCCACCTATGTTCCTAATTTCCTCAGCCAACCATTAAGTGTTTTATATCCATCATGTAATAGGCACTGGTAATACTAAATGTATAAGGCCGGACATGGTGGCTCACACTTGTAGTCCTAGCTACTTGGGAGGCTGAGGCGGGAGGATTGCCTGAGCCTGGGGGTTTGAGGCTGCAGTGAGCTCTGATCGTGTCTCTTCACTCCAGCCTGGGCAACAAAGCGAGTCCCTGTCTCAAAAACAAAAAACCGGTGCATGGTGATAAACCATACTGGGGATGTATAGGGTGCTGCTATAGGAGCATAGCTATTTTTGAAGCCATGGGAAGACGAAAATGTCCAAGGAGAGTAGAAATTGAGGAGAAAAGAATCCTGAGGACAAACATGGAAAGACTGTGGAGAATGAGGAAATTGCTAGTAGAGAGGTAGAGTAGAGTGAACCAACAAGAGTCTAGTGTGACAGAAGCTGAGCAGAAAAGTGCATCTCAGGACACAGGTAGTGATCAACAGATACTGCGAAACAGCCAGGTAAGGACCTTCTCCCTCTTTCCTCTGAAGGCTCTGTTGGATAATATTTCTGTCTGAATACCACGTGTTCCTGCTATTCTCATGTGTTGAGCTCCTGAACTCAGGTGAGTGTGTGTATAATGAGTTTGGTGGCTGAAGGAAACCACATCCATCCTCTGAATTCACTTTGTTCTTGAGTGTCAAATCTGAACTAGTAGCTCAAGTTCAGATAATGGCTTAAGTGCAGATAATGAGGAATTTGTCAAAAACTGTGTCCGAAATACAGGCAGGGAAATACTGGTGGGAAGCAGGGAGATGGGATATATCTAAGGGATATTTGGGTCTCCCTTTATCCTGGTTCAGTGAAACTTCATTTGACAAGACAATTATTCCTCAATTCCACATTTTCTGTTTCCTTTATTGTCCTAGAAAGAGTTGTTTTAATTCCCTGTTGCTACCTCTAGACTCCCAGTGAGTGCTAAATCCCTTTACATCTGTTGTCTTCCCTCCGGATTAAGTGGAATCTAAATTTACAAAGTTACTTAAGATCCATTTGTTGCTAAATACAGGGGATACATTTCTGTTGTTATCTCAGCTTCTAGGCAGCATTTGCCATTGTTAACCACCTAAACCTTAGAATACTTTTGTCTTTTCTGAAACACCAAAGTTTCTGGTTTTTTCTTATCCCTCTGGTTAGTTTATTTGTTAGCTTTTCTTCTCTGGCTCTCAAAGGTTATATATTGTTCTGTAGCATAAGCCCTCGTCTTCTCACTCTCTATTGCTGGCTGATCTGATTTACTGCTGTAGCACAAGTTACCCTAATTAACGCTTTGGGACGTTAAATGAGCCTTATGACACTGATACAACTCTATGTAGAGATCACTGTATTATTATTAATTTGGACATTTTGAATATAACAGTCATGTAGATTATACAGAATTCACACTGTGCACATCTGTATATCTGGAATGAACTCATAGTGCAACAATAATTGAAATATTCCTGTTATTTAGGCTAGAATCAAACTGGAATCTTAGAGGCAACTCAATTATTCTTGACTGCTCAAAAATATAATTTTCAAATCCTTTTTATTAACTGAATTGGGAATCTATAAGCTAAGAAGTAATTATATTAAGCACCCTTTTAAAATCTAGATTTAAATCTGCGTAGTGTTGATTTTTAATTCTTCTCAGTGGTTATTCATCTTGTCACAGTTTCTAAAATTGTACTTTAAAGTTCCATGAACATTTCAGTGGAATCAGGTTTATTTTTATTTTTATTTTTATTACCCGTGATTACTTTTGCAGGAATCAGGTTTTGTTTGATAAACACTGCCCTCCTGTGGTTAACGTAAGCTAACAGTTTGGCAAAACTGCTGTAGTCTTTTCACTTGTGGTAAAATAATGCAGCGGTTTCATACAGCATATTTGCTTAGCAATATATGTGGCCATTTAGCATTTTCCCCCCTCATTCTCTCCGTTAGCTTTTTTCTAGTGTGTCTGCACATTTTTCTCATTTCTATCTATGCACATTTTCTTTCTTTTTCTGGTGGGGAGACAGAGTCTCACTCTGTCACCTAGGCTGGAGTCCAGTGGCATGATCTCAGCTTATGGGAACCTCCGCCTCCCAGGCTCAAGCGATTCTTGTGCCCCAGATTCTTGTGCCTCAGCCTCCTTAGTAGTTGGGATAACAGGCATGTGCCACCACACCCAGCTAATCTTTGTGGGTTTTTTTTTTTTTTTTTTTGAGATTGATGCTCTGTCACCCAGGCTGGAGTGCAATGGCTTGATCCCGGGAGACTCACTGCAACCTCTATCTCCAGGGTTTAAATGATTCTCCTGCCTCAGCCTCCTGAGTAGCCAGGATTACTGGTGCCTACCACCACGCCTAGCTAATGTTTGTATTTTTGGTAGAGATGGGGTTTCACCACGTTGGCCAGGCTGATCTCAAGTGATCCACCCGCCTCGGCCTCCCAAAGTGCTGAGACTACAGGTGTGAGCCACTGTGTCCAGCCTTATCCTGCTTTTTTAAAAATATGAATTGTACCTCAGATACATAGGTGGTGGAAAACATTTCTTTTTAGATGAAAAAGGAATGATAGACTATCAGCACTTTCCAGCTCCTAAATAAAATAATGGATGGAGATAGTGATCATTGGTGGCTGCTAAAACAATTAGACTGAAATGCCGATGGGAGACTTTATAATAAGTAGATCAAGTAGACCGCATCTATCCACTGATGTATCTTAGCATCTCAAAGAAGAGATCGCAGATACTTTGTGTGTTCTGATGTGGTGTGGTAGGAGGTATACCATATGCCTTTGAAGTTTACTTTCTAAAATAAAATCTAAATCTGAGCAAGCCTAGGTTTCAAGTCTAATTTTCAGGAAGTGCAAGGGACAGAGGACCATACGATTAGCAAAATACAGAATGTGGGTAACTATAGCACAGTTTACTAGTTTTCTTCTATAAGTAAATGGGAAGAAAAAAAGAGTGAGAGACACCCATAGATTTAAAGATACTTCAAGACATGTGTTAACCAAATGCAATGTGTGTGGGTCTATTGGTTTGAACAAACCAACTGTTAAAAAAAGTTTTTTCCAAGTAAATTTAAGACATTGACTAAATAATTTGATATTAAAGAATTATAGTCATTTTCTGATGTGTAATTTTTTTTAAGTCTTTGTTGTCAGAGATATATACTACATGTAATATTAATGAATGAAATGTCTAAGGCTTGCTTCAGAATAACTCAATTTGTGGAGGGAGGGTGGCTGAATGTATTTTATGAAACAAGATAGGCCATGTGTTGATAAATTGTTGAAAATCAGTGAGGGATATGTGACGGTTCATTGTAATGCTCTCTCTAATTTGGTAAATGTTTTTAAATTTCCATAATAAAACATTTTAAAAGTATAATATTTAAGTCTGTAATTGAGAAACATTTTTCTTCCCCCCCAACTACTTACAGCTTTAAATAGTCTGAGATATGCATGTTCACCTGTGCAATGATGTGCTGTACAGCTATCCACTGCAACACTAAGTTTTCTTTCTTGAGACAGAGTCTCACTCTGTCGCCCAGGCTGGAGTGCAGTGGTGCGATCTCAGCTCACTGTAACCTCTGCCTCCTGGGTTCAAGCCGATCCTTATGCCTCAGCCTCCTGAGTAGCTGGGATTATAGGTGCACACCACGCATGCCTAATTTTTGTATTTTTAGTGGAGACGGGCCTTCACCATGTTGGTCAGACTAGTCTCAATCTCCTGACCTTGTGATCTGCCCTCCTCGGCCTCCCAAAGTGCTGGGATTACAGGTGTGAGCCACCGTGCCTGGCCTAAACATTTTTGTTTAAGAAAATAAACATTACTTAAGTGTGTATGTGTGTGTGTGTGTGTGTGTGTGTGTATGTGTGTGTGTGTATGTATTTTTTGAGACATAGTTTTGCTCTTGTTGCCCAGACTAGAGTGCAATGGCGTGATCTCAGCTCACTGCAACCTCCGCCTCCCAGGTCCAAGCTATTCTCCTGCCTCAGCCTCCCTAGAAGCCGGGACTATAGGCACCCGACACCATACCTGGCTAATTTTTGTATTTTTAGTAGATACAGTGTTTTACCATATTGGCCAGGCTGGTCTCAGAACTCTTGACCTCAGGTGATCCGCCTCCTTGGCCTCCCAAAGTGCTGGGATTACAGGTATAAGCCACCATACCTGGCCTCCTTAAATAGTTTTAACCAACTGTTTTTCTCTGTTTCATTGAAGTACAGAACATCTGGGAAATCGGTGAAATCCTCACTAAAATGACATAATTTATGGTCTCCATTTCTAATAGTTTAATGTTTTATGACATTTCAACCACATTAAAATATTAAAATAACTTAATTCCTTGTTCTGCAGAATTTATTAGAAAATATTAATTTTTACTATTAGCATGGATAATATAAATATTTTCAGTTCTGAGTGTGACTCCTTCTGATAATGATTTAACAATCACTTTTCAATTAAGATTTGATATGCCAGAGAATTACACTGCAGAAATATTAATTTCCATTTTCTAGCTCCTTGGACAGATGTATGTATTCATACATGTAGCCATTTTATGGTGTTCATTATTGCCATGTTTTTGCCATTTAAATTGGCAGGAAAAAACCCACATTGAAATGTATTATATTTGATTGCTAGTCATTTGCTTCATAGATTTTTATTATGGGATATTGAATATGTACATAAAAGTGGACAATAACATAGTGAATATCTTTGTGCTCACCATTTAGCTTCTATAATTATCAATTTGTGGCCAGTCTTGCTATATTTAAACCCCTATCCTCTTGTATATTTTTTGAAGTAACTCCCAGATACCATATGATTTCATCCATAAATACTTTAGTGTGCAAATGCTTTTTCATATGGTTATTATCCAGTTATATTAACCCTTTTGTGAACTATTACTTGTCTAGGTCCATAGTATACTTTTATTCATTTTGAGTACTTTAATACATTTTTAACATATAGACAATAAATAAAGGTTCGGTTTTCTTTATGGGCCTTAACTTGATGAAGGCAGTAAGTTCAACTTTGGACAACTGAAGTTTGAAATGCTTATGGGATATGCAACGATTACAGGTTTTTAATAGTTTTTAGTAGACTGCGGCTTGATCCATCAAAGTATGAGTGGTGAAGGCTTAGTGCGGATAATGTTATTCAGGGAGATTTTGGTGGAGTGAAAAGCAAAAGGGGTAAGTGGATGTTTATAAAATATTTGAGGGATAGGCATAGAAAAAGACATCTACAAAGAAGACTGAGAAAAATATTTTTGGGAAAAAGAAAAGTTTAGGAGTGTGATGTCTGTGAAGGGAACAGTTGATAATGTCAGATGTAGCAGAGAGATCAAAGAAGATCATCAGCAGAAATATGTGTTGGATTTTATGGCTGACCAAATGAGAAAATAGCTGCAAACACAGGAGACAGTGTGTTATCGTGGTGCAAGACTTGGATTTGAATGTTGGCTGCCACTTATCTTGCTGTGTTATGTTTGGAAATATTACTCTTTATTGCATTTTTGTTTCATATAGAAATGTAAGTGTAAACAAGAAAATAAAACATGAACAAAATATGCATGTATATCTGTTGAGACTCTGTTAGCTATTTGTTTCAAGAATATTCACCAGACATCTTGAAGCATAGTTAAAATAGCTGCTTTTGTCTGATAATTCCAACATCTGTGCCACCTTGGGTTTATTGTGTATAGCTTGTCTTTTCTCTTGTGAGTTACTGATTTCCTTACTCTTCATATGTTGAGTAAGTTTGAATTGTATGTTAGGCACTTTTTTTTTTTTTTGAGACAGGATCTTGCTCTGTTGCCCAGGCTGGAGTGCAGAGACATGGTCTCCGCTTACTGCAACCTCCACCTCCCAGGTTCAAGCTATTCTTGGCCTCAGTCTCTCTAGTAGCTAAAATCACAGGCATATGCCAAAAGGCCCGGCTAATTTTTTTTTCTTTTTTTGAGACTGTTTTCCAGGCTGGAGTGCAGTGGCATGATGTTGGCTCACTGCAACCTCCGCTTCCTGGGTTCAAGCGATTCTCCTGCCTTAGCCTACTGAGTAGCTAGGATTACAGGCACTCACCCCCACGCCTGGCTAATTTTTGTATTTTTAGTAGAGATGGGGTGTCAACATGTTGGCCATGCTGGTCTTGAACTCCTTACCTCAAGTTATCTGTTATCTGCTCACCATGGCCTCCCAAAGTGCTGAGATTACAGGTGTGAGCCACTGTGCCCAAAACCAAGATAAATCATAGGGATTCCTCCCACGCTTGTAGGACCCCTTGCGAGTTTCCGCTTTCTTGGAGTTTTAGGTCCCTGTCTAGCTGCTGCTGGTGTTACCACAGCTGCTCCCTTGGGATTGCCTCGGCAAGGGCAGAGAAAAAGAAAAGCGGGGAGAAACCCAGAGAATTTTCCCTTTCTCTATCCAGTATTTAGAAATGTCCTCTTGACTGTGCCTCAGACCAAAACACGAGATTTTTCTTCTGGAGAACTTTCTGCCTACACTTACCCTGCATTTCTTGGTTTTGGGTTGCCTTTGAGTCAGGCTCAGGGGAGGTACCAGAGGGAAACAAAATCGGGAAAATCACTGCTGAACTAGTGGTACTCCTAGTTGTGGTTTTCTCCCCAAGCCACCTGCTATTTCCCAAGTCCTCACATAGCTGCTGCATGCATTCTGTCCAGGTTTTTAGTTACATTCAGTGGGAGAGACAGAATGGGCTATGCCCACTCTTCACTGGAACCAGAACATAGATGTCACTTTAATTTTGTTATAATTATATTGTTTACTTGTTTTGGTTAAGTAAACCTTTGATTTACTAGGCTTTGCTATACAATTACCAGGAAATGGATTATTTAACATGCCTGCAGTAGATCACAGGTAGTGAAGGGATGTGGGGATGGAGGCAGAAGGTAAACAATTACATATTTATTAGTAGTGAATAATTGGGTTATTAATTTTAGCTTTTTTGGCCAATTTCTGCTTCAGGATTTGATTTACTATTTATGACTGAGAGAAAGAAGATCTGATATATATTGTTAATTTTTCTTTTATTCTGAAATATAAGGAATGAAAAGTCCATATATGTATGGTCTGGATATAATTATTAAGGTACAATTATAAGAAACATAATTACATATAGAATTATAAGAACTTAAGAAATAATTTATTATTACGTACTTGTTCCTCAGGTCTTAGAAAAATACCCCAATACACCCATGAGTCATAAAGAAATTCTTCAGGTTATCCAGAGAGAAGGACTAAAAGAAATCAGGTGAGTTATTTATAAATATTATTAGTAATAATAAAACTTGATCAGAGTATTTGGTAGTATATAGTAGTATACTTTAGTCATGAAAATTATTTATTAAATTTTAATCATTTGTTAATGATTTATTCAGCTGTCAGATTCTTGGAATTTTTTAAGTCATTACATAGTTTTAAAACCAGAAGTAAGTTAAATTCTTAGGAGGAACGTAGCTATCTTTAAGCTCATGCACTTTAAATTTTGGGAAGGGCTGGAGCCATCTTCAAGCCTTCATCTGTTATTTCAGGCTTCTGATTTAATAAACTTGGTCATTAGTGATAAAAGTTATTGTTATACAGGGAGAGTCCTAGAGGCCCACAGATAGTCTAGGAAGAAATAACACTGGCTAAAAAGGGTAAAATGAAAAAGAACTGTAAAGCAGTATATATGTCAAATAATGATCTTATCATGTTCAAATATAATAGACTTGCATCATTAATACAGGATTAAAGATAACACACACTTTAATTTCTTTTTTTTTTTTTTTGAGACGGAGTTTCGCTCTTGTTACCCAGGCTGGAGTGCAATGGCGCGATCTCGGCTCACCGCAACCTCCACCTCCTGGGTTCAGGCAATTCTCCTGCCTCAGCCTCCTGAGTAGCTGGGATTACAGGCACGCGCCACCATGCCCAGCTAATTTTTTGTATTTTTAGTAGAGACGGGGTTTCACCATGTTGACCAGGATGGTCTCGATCTCTTGACCTCGTGATCCACCCGCCTCGGCCTCCCAAAGTGCTGGGATTACAGGCGTGAGCCACCGCGCCCGGCAAACACACTTTAATTTCTAAGAACCTTATTATATTACAATAACAGGCCAGGCATGGTGGCTCACACTTGTAATCCTAGCTCTTTGGGAGGCTGAGGTGGGAGGATCACTTGAGTCCAGGAGTTTGAGGCTGCAGAGTGCTAAGAAGGTGCCACTGCGCCCCAGCGTGGGTGACAGAGCAAGACTCTGTCTTGTTAAAAAAAAAAAATCACGATAATACATAATAGTCAGTGTTCTTTTTTTTTTTAGACAGTCTTGCGCTGTTGCCCAGGCTGGAGTGCAGTGGCACAATCTCAGCTCACTGCAACCTCTGCCTCCCCAGTTCAAGCAATTCTCCTGCCTCAGCCTCCTGAGTAGCTGGGATTATAGGCATGCACCACTCTGCCTGGCTGATTTTTGTATTTTAGTAGAGACGGGGATTCACCATGTTGGCCAGGATGGTCTTGAACTCCTGACTTCAAGGGATCCACCGGCTCAGCCTCCCAAAGTGCTGGGATTATAGGCGTGAGCCACCACACCCGGCCAATAGTCAATGTTTTAATCAAGGCTCTCTATCATCAGGAAATGTTAAACTTATATTAAGTATGCTCTGTATATTAGACAGAAAATTGGGAGTCTATGTTAGATTTTCATTAAGATAGGAAAAGTTGTAGTGCTTTCAAACTACTAGTGGTTTTCAGCTATGGGTGGGATTGTGTAACACTCTTAGAGTTCAGAATTTTGAGGGGGCTGTTTTTGATTATACAGTGATTGTGGTGGGGGAACACAGTGTCATTTAGTGGGCAGGTCACAGGAATGCTAAATGTCTGGCATTGTGACGGATATTGCTTCACATTGAGTAGTTTTTCATCTCAGGTACCAGTGTTGTTCCCATTGAGAAACAGGAAGCTATGCCCAAATATTTGTAAATGGACAATATATTTCCTGATGAATAGCCATTGCACGTTCTAGATTTTATTTCTCATTTTCTTTTATTTTGAGACAAAGTTTTGCTCTTGTTGCCCAGGCTGGAGTGCAGTGGCATAATCTCAGCTCACTGCAACCTCCGCCCCCCAGGTTCAAGCGATTCTTCTGCATCAGCCTCCCGAGTAGCTGAGAATACAGGCATGTGCCACCACACTGGCTAATTTTGTATTTTTCGTAGAGACGGGATTTCTTTATGTTGGTCGAGCTGGTCTCGAACTCCTGACCTCAGGTGATCCACTGGTCTTGGCCTCCCAATGTGCTGGGATTGCAGGCATGAGCCACTGTGCCCAGCCCTTTTTATTTTTATTTTTTGAAGAGATAGAGTCTCTAGCTGGGCGCAGTGGCTCATCCCAGCACTTTGGGAGGCCAAGGTGGGCAGATCACGAGGCCAGGAGTTCGAGACCATTCTGGCCAACATGGTGAAACCCCATCACTGCTAAAAATACAACAATTAGCTGGGCATGATGGCAAGTGCCTGTAATCCCAGCTACTCGGGGGGCTGAGGCAGGAGAATTGCTTGAACCAGAGAGGCGGAGGTTGTGGTGAGCTGAGATTGTGCCACTGCACTCCAGCCTGGGGACAGAGTGAGACTCTGTCTCAAAAAAAAAAAAAAAAAAAAAGATAGCGTGTCATTATATTGCCCATGATCATGGTGTACTTCAACTCCTGGCCTTAGGTGATTCTCCCATCTCTGCCTCCTAAAGCCAGGACTATGGGCACTCATTTTTTTTTTCTTTGACATGAAATTCTAATTGAGTTTTTAAATTGGCTATCTCTAAAGCAGTTTACATTTTTTAAATTTGATTTATAGTGAAACTCCTGTAGGCTGAAATAAATTAGGTTTGCTTCATGGATATGAAAAAGTGAATTATAAATTAGTGTATCTTACTTTATATAACACATCCCTGAAAAATTGACTGTAAACATTTTAAAATTAAAACAATAAAATTTGAAGGCTGGATGCAGTGGCTCATGCCTGTAATCCCAGCACCTTGGGAGGCTGAGGTAGGTGGATCATTTGAGGTCGAGAGTTTGAGACCAGCCTGGCAACCATGGTGAAACCCCATCTCTATTAAAAAAAAAATCAGCCAGGCATGGTGGCATGTGCCTGTAATCCCAGCTACTTGAGTGTCTGATGCAGGAGAATAGCTGGAACCCAGGAGGTGGGGGTTGCAGTGAGCTGAGATTGTGCCACTGCACCCCAGCCTGGGCAACAGAACGAGACTCCATCTCAAAAAAAAATACATTTGAAGAATTTGCTTTTAAAAATACTTTTTGTGAGCTGGACGCAGTGGCTCACACCTGTAATTCCAGCACTTTGGGAGGCCGAAGCAGGCAGATCATGTGAGGTCAGTAGGTCTAAATGTCAGTATCTTCCAGCTCTAACATAGTAAGCCTCTGGGACTTTAAACTTACCATGATTATTTCCAGGAAGCAAGCAGGAATAGTAAATAAAGATTAGTAAACAAAACAAAACAACAGCAGGAAAAAATGGAAGAGTTTTTTTTAAAAAAGGTAGTAAAGTATGTGGATCGTCAGATAGCTTCTGGTTCTCTTGGTGACAATTTAAAGAAGCTTTTCCTGGTTAAACTATATTGTGGTTGTGCAGTTATGGGAATACAAAGCAGTTCTTTCTACGTCACCAGTAACTTTTATTTTGCTAAATCTACAGGATTTTTACTTCTTGCCTTTTCTGCCTCTTAGAATTATTTAACATAGGAGGCTATTGTATTGCTTCCTTCTTGAAACTTAAGAGACACCATGAAGCTTCCTACCTTCCTTCCTTCCTCTCTAAGCTTTCTCTCTCAGCATTCGTGCTAATAACCTTCTCTCCAATTTAAACGCAATTTTTATTTCCATTCTCATAGCTTTAAATATCATTTCTGTTTTGTTAACTCCCACATATATAAGGAAGCTACTTTCCCTCTCAGCTTCTGTATGTGCTGACCACCCTTAGCAGGGGATGTGCTTTCACTTAGCTGTTTGACAGTTAAGTCTTTCAGGTCTCCATTTGGATACCTCTTTTTCAGAGAGAATTTTGCCTGACTTAGTGGTCTTGATCGTATCTACCTATTTTGATTTGTTTTAGTGTTCTGTTTTTTGTTTTTTGTTTTGAGGCAGAGTTTTGCTCTTGTCGTCCAGGCTGAGTGCAATGGTGCGATCTTGGCTCACTGCAACCTCCGCCTCCCGGGTTCGAGCAATTCTCCTGCCATCGCTTCCCAAGTAGCTGAGAATACAAGCGCGTGCCATGACGAGTGGCTAATATTTGTATTTTTAGTAGAGACAGAGTTTCACTGTGTTGGCCAGGCTGGTCTCGAACTCTTGACCTCAAATGATCCACCCTCCTCGGCCTCCCAAAGTGCTGGGATTGCAGGTGTGAGCCACTGCTCCCAGCATGTTCTTCACAGCATTAAGGTTCTTCATAGCATTAAGGTCTGAAATTATATATTTTTGTGATTGTAAAAAAAATACTATTTCTCTGTACCTTACATTAAGCTAGCTCCAGAGGCAGTGACATTATCTTTCCCCCACCCCTCAGCATATGGTGCATAAATATGGTGCATAGTATTTCAAACCTACTTGTTTACAACTACCTGAAAAAAGAAAAAGAAAATAAATAAATAAATAAATAAATAAAACCTGCTTGCTAATGAACACATGAGGTATTATTGGTTGAAAGATCATTTTCATATGTAGTTATAGATTATTCCCTTGCTGCAGTGATGTGTCAAATGGTAGACTTTTTTTTTTTTTTTTTCCTGAGACAGGCTCTCGCTGTATCACCCAGGCTGGAGTGCAGTGGCGCCTCGGCTCACTGCAGCCTTGTTTTTTGGGGATCAAGCAATCCCGTGACCTCAGCCTCCTGAGTAGCTAGGACAAGAGGTACATGTGCCACCACCTCTAGCTAATTTTTGTATTTTTTGTAGAGACAAGGGGTTCACCATGTTGCTCACACTGGTCTCAAACTCTTGGACTCAAGCAATTCTCCTGTCTTGGCCTCCCAAAGTTCTGGGATTAACAGGCGTGAGCCACCAGTGCCCAGCTGGTAGTCTTATACTCTGAAAAGTTTTTAGAAGGATTACAGAATGAAACACATACTATGCTTCTCAAAGGTGTGTGACTACTTATTGTTTTATTTTCATTCCTCAGACCTCAATACATGACTTGGAGCTCTTCTCTCTTTATAGTTTTCCTTTGGCTCCCACATTTGGAAGAATTTTGCTCTGATTATTCAACACCAGTTTTGGTTAATTTTAAAATTTATTAATGTGGTAACAACTGAAATATTATGAACATATTAATGAATAAACAAAATAAGGTACGTGCATACAATGGAATATTATTCAGTGTTAAGAAGATAGAAAATTCTGATACATGCTACAGTATGGATGAACCTTGAAAACGTTATGCTAAATGAAGTAATCAGACCCAAAAGTACAATTATATTACTCCACTTACATGAAATACCTAGAATAGGTAAGTTCGTAGATAGTGAGTGACTATTGAATGAGTACAGAATTTCTGTTAGAGACGTAGACAAGTTCTGAAAATGGATGATGGTGACAACATTGTCAATGTACTTAATGCTACTGATTAAAAATGGTTAAAATGGTAACTTTTATGTTATGTGGGTTTTGCTGCAATCAACCAATAAAATGTTTAAAAAGAAGTGGTTAGCTCCTAGCTGAGAAAGATTCAGGTACTAACCCCTTTAAGAAGTTAGGTGGAGGCCAGGCGCGGTGGCTCAAGCCTGTAATCCCAGCACTTTGGGAGGTCGAGGTGGGTGGATCACGAGGTCAAGAGATCGAGACCATCCTGGTCAACATGGTGAAACCCCGTCTCTACTAAAAATACAAAAACATTAGCTGGGCATGGTGGCGTGTGCCTGTAATCCCAGCTACTCAGGAGGTTGAGGCAGGAGAATTGCCTGAACCCAGGAGGTGGAGGTTGCGGTGAGCCGAGATCGCGCCATTGCACTCCAGCCTGGGTAACAAGAGTGAAAGTCCGTCTCAAAAAAAAAAAAAAAAAAGAAGAAGTTAGGTGGTAAGATTGA